ACACACACACACACACACACACACACACACGTACACACACATACACACACACAAAAGCCTTTCTTTCACGAAAGTTGTCTCCGGGTAAAAGTGATCTGAGTGATCACTTTGCAGGTGGGTTTTGCTTTGGAGCTGTTCTGATTAAAGGGTATGCTCTGTGCTAGGGGCTGTCAGATTCTGGCTTGTGTGGGAGTGATTCTGGGAACTTGGTGTTAAAATACAAAGGACCGTGGCTGGGAGCTGTAGGGACTGGACGCTGCGTCCGTCCGAGGGTGCTTGTTCATGTACAAGTATTGCCCTTGTTTGTCCTGTGATTTCTGTACTTGGTCTCTTAGTGCCGGAAAACCAGTTCCTACTGGAAAACCAGTTCCTACTTGCCTGGTTCAGTCGCATTTAATTTACTTAATTTATGTAGATCAGTTGGAGGAGAGAAACTGCTAAACTCACAGTAAAGTTCAGATTGTGTCATGTGTTTTGTAGATTTGTATAAAGTCCTGCGTATGTCATATTTATGGCAAATTCTGTTAGTCAAAGGAGACAAAATCCTGGAGCATTTGTTGTGAGTGCAGTTAACATGAACTGACACCCAGGAAGCAACAGAAGGGGCTTCTGTTCTCTTTCTGAGGCAGGGAGAACAGTGTAAAAGCCTGGTCGGGGAACCCTGGGTCAGGTGGCCGGGGTCACCTCCCAGCCTCACTGTCCCTGCTGAGCTCCACCCGACCATGGTAAAGCAGACTCTTGTCGAAGGTGGAGGTCAGATGTGGGGATGCTTGCTTTGTGGTGTGTGACGTCTGGGTAATTAGCTCCTCTGAAATTTCTTAGAAATGGCTGTTACAAAATAAGTCAGGACATTTACCGAATATTGAACAAATTCTGCAAGGTCACATGTAATTGACTGCATTTTTTGTCTTCGTCTTTTAAAAGGCAAAGGAAAACAGCTGGAAGAAAAGATGGTGCAGCAGTTGCAGCAGGACGTGGACATGGAGGACGAGTCTTAGGGACCTTACTGTCTGTGCTGTTTCTGTATGAAAATCTCTCGTGGACACTTAGAGCTTGGAAACTCTTGGCCTGTTTGGTGCTAGTCCCTCGGCAGCCGGAGTCTTCGCTGCACTGCCGTCTGCCCACAGCGGCTGTGGTGCTGGGTTTCCTCCCTGGCACAGCCCGCTGGTAGACGTGCTCATGTAAGTGTGAAGATTCTGTGTGCAAGCGCAGAGGTGCACGGTGGACATCAGACAGCTAGGCCATTTGCATGATGACCTAGGCAGCATTTGTGTAAAGAAGAACCGCCAAAATTCATAAAAGCAACACATGAAATAAACTTTCCTTTGCATTAAAATATCCCACTTAGTAATGTTATGGGGGTACAGTAAGGAGCCAGTGATGTGTGTGACAGCCTCCATGTCTTGCCTGTTGATTTTCTGGCTTATTTTGTTGGCCTCTTACAGGACAGCAGGGCCGAGTTGCCCTGGGCTGTTGGGCCTGCTTGAGGGTCTGCAGGTGGCTGGGGTGGTGAGGAGGGTGGAGCGTCTGCCTGCGGTGGGGCCACGCTGCTTCGGCTTTGGGGGTGCTGGTTCTGGTAGGCCAGCTGTTGCTGAGTCTCTTGGCAGCGGATCCCGGTGCCTTTCAGACTTTGGAGTGTGAGTTACTTTTAAAACTAATTGTTTTGGAAAGTAGAAATTTATGGATAGAACATCTGTCCATTATTTGCACCTAAATAAAACAATCTGAAGTGCCTATGTATTATTTAAAAGTGTAGCACTGGCTGGGGATTTAGCTCAGCGGCAAAGCGCCTGCCTGGCAAGCGCAAGGTCGTGAGTTTGGTTCCCGGTACCAGAGAAAAACCAAAAAAAAAAGAAAGTTCTCTTTGGGGCTGGGGATTTAGCTCAGCGGCAAAGCGTCTGCCTGGCAAGCACAAGGTTGTGAGTTCGGTTCCCAGTACTGGAGAAAAACCAAAAAAAAAAAAAAAAAAGTTTAGCACTTACAAAGGTATGACGTGTTGATTACTTGGAAGAAGATAAATCTCTCCACATGCCACTTAGGTGGGAGATGCAGTTAATTAAGGAGAAATACATGCTGAGTACTTCATGTTTCTGTATTTACATTATTAGTTCACATGTCTTACAAATACTAAGCAGCAGTTGTTTTGGGGCCGAGCACATTCTTAGGGTTGTTTGATTATAAGATAATGGCTAATTCGTTATTTTGGCCTTAGGTGGTAAAGACGGAGAGCAGTCTCTACCAAGTGTTAGCCTGGTTCCGGCATGGTTTTGCCTTCGTGTTCTCAGTGACAAAATGGCCGATGTGTGCACCCCAGCTGCCGTGAGGGGTTAGGGAGGCGAGGTGCGAGAGGAGCCTGCCTGAGCCATGTCCGCCTCGTTCTTTGTGCATTGTAATGGGAGCGTGTTCAGATTCCTGGTTTGGTTTCTACCTTGCCAGTCAAGCGAGGAGCTGCTGCCCTGCGAGTGGACCTCTGCAGTAGCTGCATAGAGCATCTCATGCTCCATGTGGCACAGGCATCCCCTGCTCCAGCCGGATCTGCAGGGCCCTGAGAATGGATCTTGCTCTCTGCCACGTGGGTATGCACACTGTAGTGCTCACATACTGCTAGGTTAGGTTGGGTCACCAAGACGAGTCAGTTGTTCTTTTAAGAACATGCCCGGACGTTGGGTGTGATGGCGCATGCCTGTCATCCCAGTACTCGGGGAGGCTGAGGCAGGAGGATCACAAGTTTGAGCCCAGCCTAACAACTTAGCAAGGACCCTGCCTCAAAAAATGAAAAGCCTGGGGGTGCAGCTGGGGAGGCCCTGGGCTCCGTCCCTCAAACCCAAAGGAGAACATCGCCTGTGGCTCTGAGCGTCTGGGCTGCTGAGCGTCCAGCGTGACGGGCCTGGTGGGTGGGTGGACGCTCCCCCATGGCTCTTATATTCCCAGTTAAGAGCAGTACAGAACGGAAAGTGGCAGGAACATCTCTAATTCATGTTCCTATGGTACTTCTTAGGAGCGCAGAGAAATAATCCACATTAGAAGACATTTCTTAAAAGCAGAACCCAGGACAGTGTTTCTCTTGGCAGAAAATTGAGGCAGATGGGCCGTTTCGCGGTGTCTGAGAGGTGGCATTGATCCCATTGTACGGACGGGAGTGTTTGTGCTTTACGGGACACCCCTGCCTTACCACCCAGGTGGGGCTGCGTGTGTCCATCCCGGTGTGTTTCCACGCGGCTGGCTGACGGAGCTGCTGAGTCTCGGGTCCGTTCCCCCGGCTGGGTAGTGTGGGGAGGTGACGGCGGGTTGCTGAGTGACTGAAGCTGGTGGTGCCCGCATCTTCCTTTGGAAAACGGACAGGTGTGGGACAGCCGTAGAGTTGTTTGAGGACACAGTTGCTGAGACACAGTATGCTTGCTTGCTATGGGAAGTTGGTGTTAGGATGCCCTGAAGCATTCAGATGACGTCAGGGAAGTTTCCTCCTGTCCTTCCGCTTGTATATTTTTATGAGGAGACCAGAAAGAAGGCGTCAAATGTGAATCTCCCAGGTCAGGCATTCTGCGATGACTGTAGCGCCCTGGGAGAAGTGCACGTGGCAGCCTGCTAAAGTGAGTGTGCTGGAGAGCCAAGGGGAGCAAGTGAGTGAAGCAAACAGAAAACCCAAGCCACAGAGCTTCAAGGGCTCTGGAGGGCTCCCAGCGTCTTCCTTGACTAACGCTCAGCAGCACTGAAGGGACCTGCCCTTCTCCCGGCTCGTCTGTTCCGACTGCAGCAGCAGCCTTCCCAGCCGGCAGGTCCATGGGTGCCCTCGGTGTCCTGGGATGCCGTGGTTGAGAAGGGTCTAGTGGGTCCAGCGCTGCCACTTCCTCTCTGAGTCCATCAGAGAGAGGAAGATGGGCACAGATGCCTGCAGGGAGCGCTGCGTTGGATCCGCAGGGAACAGGGCCGGCTCTCAGCCCTTGTGGGAGAGTGGTGGTCAAAAGCTTTCTCTGTTTAAGGCTTCTGTGACTTTGAAAGCATGTGTGCTATTCACCAAACTGCTGATCATCTCCATTCTTTTCTTTGTTTTTTTGAGAGAAGGTCTTACTATGCAGTCCAGGCTGGCCTTAAACTTGTGGCAATCCTCCTACCTCAGCCTCCCAAGTGCTGAGATTACAGGTGTGCACCACTGCACCTGGCCCTTTCTTCTTGATGAAGTCACTTTTGTGAAGGCCAAGGTGTTGTTGAGTAGGCAGGGCAGATCGTGTGTTTTCTCTTTTACTTCCACTCTTAATTGGTCGCACAGATTAGCTGTTTTATTTTGCGGATTCAGACATGCACATGGCAGGCTTTGTCCGCTGTCACCTCCGTGGACTCCTTATTTTTCTAGTTACAGCCTGCAGATCCCATGCTAGACAGTGTCTTCAAATTGACCGAATGTGTGTGCCTTCTTGCTGCACACGTGTAACTGTGTGTGTGTGGGCTCCCCGTTTGACTGCATCTGAGGTTCTCCCCCCAGTGCCGACCTCGGTTGCCTCATCTGTGGGGGCTCGTGGCGAAGGTAAGCGCCAGCTTGTGACAGCTGCATCAACACCTGCACCACCTTCGTTTTCCCCACGTAGTCAGTGTTGGACTGGGGTCAGGTGGAACGTAATGGTAACTGAGCCATGGAAATCGTCCTGGGACACTGGTGCTGGGCACCTCACGGCGGAGCACAGGTGAGTGAGGATAGGGATGAAGAAATTCTCGGCCCCGTGTCAAATCCCAGATGCTGTGGGGCCCATAATTTGCCCTTAGTTACTTGGGACGTTTTCCTTCTGCTCGAGGTCCTGCGGAACCCCATGAGCACACGCATCTCTCTGTGTTTCACTGAGGTCCTTGAGCGGTGCAGTGGTTTCCCCTGGCCTAGTCCAGTGCGGAGCTCCCTGTGTGCGCGTCTACATTCCCGGCCTCCCAGCCAGTGCCACAGAGCTCGGCTCGGTGCGTGGAGATGTGTTAATGACGCGGGTCTGTGACGGGAGCGTGGGAACTGGTAAGAACTGGGCTTGCTGGCTTTGCCATCTCGGCCCTAACGAGAGCTCAGCAGGGAGAGGCTTTGGCCCACGGCTGCCTGACATGGGTCTCTACCTGAGATTTGGTCCGAGGGCTCCCCCTCCTCCTATTAAATATGTACAAGAGCCGCTGAAATCTCCACTGCACCCTTCTCCCACCCCAGCCCGAGAGCCCCTCTCAGCAATGGCTTCGTCCTGCCAGGCTGTGTGTGTCTACCAGCTAGCACTACCTTCCCGTGCACACATTTAACCCTGAGGTACTGAGGCACTCGAGTGGCCGGGCGTTTCACAGCTCTGCACCGCACGCCCGCAGTAATGCCCACGCTGTGCCTGTGTGGGGTCGGTGGATTCATCTAGACGGTGTGTGGTTGTGTCCTGAGGCCGTCACACTTTGTCATCTATCTTCCCACGGAGGGACATAAACAAATGCTGGTTTCTCACGCACAGGGAGCCACGGGTGGGGAGCTCCAGTCTTCCAGCTGGCTAGCTTCCTGCCTGGTGGCTCCC